AAATTATGCTCATAGGCCCACCCCTTAAAATTGGATTTTGACAAGTTAAGAAACTTTGCACTCAGATCAGATGAATGTGAAAACAACCTTCCCTGTCATCGTCAGACCATTGTTTTATTTGCAATAAAGTCAAATCTTTGCTATGAAAAAATATTTGAAGGAGCCACTGTTAACCATCAGCTGGATAAGTTATTAAATTTTCATATTACTAGAATTGCAATTTGACTCTTTTTGTTAGTTTAGATTTGATTAGGAGGATTGTTTGTGTAGACCTTTTTATCTTGGTTAATCAGACACTGGTTTCATCTGAATAACTTCATAATAAGAGCTAGAGCGGTGTACCATGGCAGTGTTTGTCATCAGGGAGGAGGAGGATCTTCTACACCCACCACGTGACATTGGGATTGTTATTGAAGGTGTGCAAGTCCTCAATGAGTTGCCATCACTTGCACATGGATGTGCCATGTTATTTGGCCTCATCTATGCTCTAAACCTGAGCCATCCAAGTGAGTTCAAACACACTTTTGATGCACTGCAGAAAGTATTCATGGAGGTGGAACCAAATAAAATGACATGCAGAGTGTGCAGCCTGAATCTCAAGCTCAAAATATAGGATTGGTTAAAGAAAGACATTTGGATACAGCATGTTTTTGGTCAGTTTTATAGCTTGTATTCAAATACATTACAGTAGAATGGAGGAAATGAGAATATTGTTAAATTTGTGATGACCAAAACAATGGTGATTTTTGTTTTTTTCCTTGTTTAATGTTTTTGGTCTGTTGATGTCGCATTTGTAATGGTTCAAAATTTCAATGACATTCATGCATTCTGGTGATTTTATCGAAGGATAGCCACATTTCAACAGTTTTGCACCTAATGGCTATTACCTTACATATCTCAAGTTTTAAAGGAGAGATGTAAAAACTTTTATGAGAAGTTTTATAGAAGTTCTATTTGTACAAAGGTTTTACTTGTACAGAAAGTACAGCAAAAGTTTACATGTTAAAATAATTATTGGTGATGCATACCTTTAAGACATCACAATAAATAATGTCTTGTGAAGAGAATTCCTCTGTCTTTATTGTGAGTAAACTGTAACAAAAGTTTTGTTTGTCAAGTTTATGGCATTAATTATGGTAAATTGTAAGTTTTTACTAAATGTATATTGACATACATTTAGTAACATTTTGACTTGGGACTGAAAAAAATATATTGTTTAAAGTCAATTAAAAATGATAGTTTTGTACTGAATCAGAAATTTAACTTGAGAAAAGTTAATAAAATTGCGTGTAACAAAATTGCAGCAATTTAATTAGTTTATTCCTACACTACATATAAGTGTAATAGTAAATATTAAGTTTGACCAAACTGAAAATATTAAGTTGTAACAACTTAAAAATGTATGTATGTATGTTCTTTAAAATTAATTATCTTTTTACTTTGAATCAATGTAAATTTTTAATAAAATAAAAATAAATATTTGTGATTGATATTAAATCAAAATTTATGGTTTCAACCAAATCAGAAAGGTAATTTGAGAAAAACTAATAAATTTAGGTGTAACAAATTACATCAATTTTTTTAAGTTGATCCAAAGTATCATTCTTTTCAGTGCAGGTACAAAGCCTAAATTTGTAAAAGAATAAGAAGCTAACTAAAAGTGAAGGCATAAAAGTATGTTTTAAGTTTAGATTTGAAAGTCTGAATGGAGTCAGACAGTCTGATATCAGCAGGGAGGTTGTTCCAGAGCAGAAGGGCCTGAGAGGAAAAGGCTCTGCAGCCAGCAGACATCGTTTTAACTCTGAGGACAGAAGGAGCACTGAATTCTGAGAACACAGAGCACAGGATGGAATATAAGGTTTATGGAGATCAGACAGGTATGAAGGAGCAAGTCCATTCAGACCTTTACATGTCATTAAAAGTCTTATCTGATATGGAAAGGAAGCCAATGAAGGGAAACTAAAACTGGTGTAATATGGTCAAATTTACTGGATTCGGTCACAATTTGAACATTTGAAGATTTTTTATAAAATAATAATAATAATAATAATAATAATAATAATTGTTGTTGTTATTATTATAATTATTTTATTTTCCACTTTAATTAATTAATTTATTTTTACTTTTACTTTTCTTTTTCTTGTCCTCATTTTGACCCTGCTGTTGGACATTACTGTCCTGTCCATTCAGCTGTTTTCTGTGAAAGCTGCAGTGTGGTGACTTGTCCTCCAGGGGGCTCTGTGTGGTTGTCTTGCTTTGCCTCTCCCCTCTCTGGCTCCATGTCAGGGCTCGGTGCTGCAGCAGTAATGTGGCAGTTAAGAGCCGGGTGAGTCATTGGTTTACAGCGCGCATGGTGAACCTCTAGGTGTCACCCATTATCTAGCTGTGTCTCCATCAAATCCAAAACCTCCCCATGAAACTCTCGCAACGTCTCTGTGTCTCTTCACACCAGCTATTTCCATCTGCTTCCACAGCACATTTTTCCCATCAGCAACCAACACGTCCAAGTTTGATCCTTTAGTGACTCAGATTGCCGACAGTCTGCACAGCCAGAGACAAAAACCCTGGTCGCATCAAGTCATTCTTATGTTTGTGGAAAAGCTTCAGAGCTTTGTCATATGAGCAGGAGTGTGTCTTACAAACTGCAAACACTGACAAGAACCGGATTTGCTGATGTGAAGATGAAGACTCGTGACAGATGTAGTGATGGGTGAAGACACCTGTGCTTTTCATCCAGACTTTAAAACCTTTTCATTCTTTATTGAAAACCATCGTACCATAGATTGATGTCCAACCAAACAGAAATGCAATACATGACATATACAGTATGTCCCTATATCAAGAGTGATGCTGCCTTATATGTCACAAATAATTATTATTATTATCACATTGCATCACATGCATTTATGAAGATATGTTTATAACATACATGAAATACTCAGTAAAACTTGTGTACATATATTAAAATATCTATGATGAATTTTTTTATGGCATCACATGTTCTGACCATATATGTTAACAACATATATTTAATTTATATATGCAACTTAAATAAAACAACATACATATAAAAATTCTATGTGCTCATATATGTTTTTCTTATTAATTTCTCATTCATTTTAAACATGTCTCTTCCCATTCTGGGAAAGTGCTCTCAGACTTTTGGTCTCTGCTGTTTATAATATCAACATATATCAACAGGCTTTGGGATGGATATATATTTATGTAACATATGTCTACAATATAAGCATACGTATATAAATATACATATTTGTATGGGCTAGACATACAGTATATGTCAATATATGAAACTGTTGAAATAGGTTCCATTATATCATTTTTTACATATGTTTTTATTTTATATGTACATATATTTCATATATGGAAAGTCAATATATGTACATATACTACATTTGTGTATAAACTCATAAACAAAAGTAGGACTGCAGCTAATGACTATTATCACTAATCCATCAGGGGACATCCTCACGTCTTCTGTCTGACCAACAGTCCAAAGATAATTCAGTTTACAAAGATTTCAAACAGAGAAATCAGTAAACCCAGATACCTGAGGAGCTGGAGCCAGAGAACATTCACGCTGCTGTATAAATGTAGGAAACAATTAATTGTTGTTGATTCATTTTCTGTTGATTGACCAGGTAATTGACTAAATGTACTGAACAAGAATGTTAATGAATTCCTCCCCAGCCCAGCATATTGGCTCAATGTGTAACATTAGACTCTTTACATGGATGTTTCTGAGTATAATCTGACCTCTTACTTCATTCAGAGTAAATGTTCAACCTTGTGAACAGTAGTTGACAAACCAGTCTCACCACAAGGGCCATTTAGTAGCTGCTCCGGAGCTTTTGCTCACACAGATGTCCTTCTACAGTCCTGACAACTGTGCAGACCTGAGCTGTTGAGGAAGAGTGTGTGAAGCAGTTTAACTTTGACAAAGCACAAAGACCTACTTCATTTCCTTTCAATCCACTGCACAGCAAAGGAAGGCTGTTTGTGCGATCTGCGGTCTACTTCTACAGCGACATATTGAACTGTGAATCTTCTGTATATGGAATAGAGTACATGTTGTTTAACTTATTAAATAGCTGCACAATATTCATTCATTCATTTATTTTCAAAGCTGCTGATGTGGTTTCTTTGAATATCAATCAATTTAGAATGTCTATTAAACGTCACTTATTTCTGGAAGGGTATATTGCAAAAACAAATGATGATGTTAAAAAACATTTAGAGAAATGGGAAAGGTTTATTGAAGAAGGCCATTAAAAAAAATGTATGTAATGCACAATCTGAATTATTTAGCCTTTGTTTTGTTTTGGTTTCTTCTTTTTGTCTTTAATATCTTATTTAGTTTGGAAAGCCTGATTGATATTGTGATGTTATGTGTCTGTGTTCATTATTAGGTTTGTTTCGTGTGACCTAGTATGTTAGTTTATGTTTGTTGTTTTGTTTTCTCATTACCTGTTTTCGTTCAATAAAGAAAACCTTTGCTATATATGTATAAAAATGCGAAGTCTGTATGTCTGTCTTCTAAATTCTCTCACATCATCCTGCAGACAGACTCGTTGTTTCCATAATAATCATATTAAAGATCTTCACAAAGTCAATAAAGAAGAAAAGCTCCCGCTACCAAACTCCAATATAAACCAGAGTGAATAATGTTTGTGTATTACTTTTATTTGTGTCCCTCCCCCTCCCCACAACAGATCACAAAGACAAGTGTCCATTAATATATTCATGTATACATATCATAGTGACAAATAAAAAAAAAATCACAATACAAAAGACAATTTAAATACGTAGAATGTCAATCGCATGTCAAAGTCTTGATTCAATGCTTTTTTACTCAACATGCATTCAAAATATAAAAATAGACTTCTGATTAAGTTTATATACACTTTTTTTATAAATATAAGTATACAAATGTATTTTTAAAATACAAAGATAAATACAGTCACATAGTGTACATTGTGTACCAAACCAGCAATTACAAACATTTTTTGGATATTTAGCATTCACAAAACACAATTATTACATTAGAAATGCAACTTTAACGACAATTTCAGTTTTTTGTCTTTGTTTCTCATTTCAGTTTCTCCTCTGTCCTTTTGCCTCCCTCAGCTCCTCGCTTTTATTGTGAAAGTAAAAGGAAGCAGTCAGTGGGTGGTGAATAAATATAGGGGATAAAAAAAACAGGAAGTCTAGCTCTGCCGGACGTCCTGTAAGAGTTTGTTGATCTCAGCCACCAGTTCGCTGGCGTCCACCAGCTCGTGGCGGCTGTCGCTGCGTTTGCCCTGCAGGTGGCTGAGCACAGAGTCAAAGTCGTCCTCCTCGTAGTTCTCTGGGATCTCCTCCATGGCAGGTAACCACTTGCAGGAGGGCCCGGGGAGCGGGACTGGTACCGCCACGGGGGCAGGGGACGGCTGCATCAGAGTGGGGCTGACCAGCGCCGTGAGCAGGGGGCTGCTGTGGGGTTTGGGGGTGTGGCCGCTGTTCTGAGGGCTGTTTTTGGGGGCCTGCAGGCCCTTGTGGCTGTTACTCTGGGAGCCGAGCTTGGTGCTGGGTTTCAGGGTGTGGTAGCTGCCACCCTGGTGGTGGCCAGATGGGCCAATGCTGCTTCCCGGGTTCTGGAAGTGGGTGTTGGCAGCCCAGGCTGCCACGCCCTGCTGGTGGACAGAGGGACTGGGCTTGCCGGGTAGATGGCCCCTCCTGCGGTCTAAAGATCCAGTCATGGGTACACCCACACCGCTCAGGCTAGTCCCTTTCTGGTTCTCGTTGACCTGGACGTACGAGTCCAGACCCTGGGGTAGCAACCTCTGGAACACACTGCTCATCTCTGACAACAGCGATGTTGTCCCGCACAGGTCTTCATCTCTGTCCTCAGCCCCGCCGTCTTCTCCCCCCTCCTCTTCGCCGCCGTCCTCTCCACCCAGGTCCTTGCCGAAGGTGGAGAAGCTCTGGTTCCGGGCGGTTCCGGTGTCAGTGCAGGGCTGCGGGGTCTTTTCCTGTGAGAGGTCAGCAGCTTGGCGGGCTTCTTCCCCGGGGATGTAGAGGTTGCTGCGGTAGTCGGAAGACGACGAGGCCGGGGAGGCCAGGGGGGGCATCCAGCACTGATCTGAGTGACCCAGGACACGACACTCCTCTGTGCAGAGCCGCATAGCTGCAGAGAACAGACACAAAGACAGAAACACTCATGAGTAATCAGAGATACTGAGCTGCACACAGTCACATATAACCAGGGCATAAAACCTCAATTCCTTTTTAATAGCAGCAGAAATGTGTCTGTAGCACCGAGTATTAAAAACTGTGCATTGAATATCTGGCTCGATTCTTAATCTGCTTTACGTCTTTGATCAGAAAGTTTCTGACTTCAATCAAAATTCTGCCCATTTCATTTTATTCAGAAAGTTCTTTGCCTGTGACCGCTAGATACCAGGATCAGGTTCTGATGACTCCACCCACACATACTCATTGTACAGTATCTACACTTTAGGCAGCAACTAATCATCATTTTCATTATTGATTCTGACCTCTTCAAACATCTCCTTTTGTCAAACCAACAAAAACGTCCAAAAACGTCCGTCACCTCAACCGTGTAAAACACAGAAACCAAACTGTTGACATTTGAGAAGCTGGAACCAGAGAATATTTATTTTTAGTTGATTAAACAAATGAAACAATTCAACTGTTATCAAAAGCTAATAATTCTCTGTTGATCAACTAATTGCTTACTTGCCTAATTGTTTGAGCTCAATTTACACTATATTAATTAGGAAATTAGGCTGCCCTGGATGGGTTCAGTAGTGGAATATGTATCTTTGAATGTGAAGAATGTAACAGCCTGTAACAAGGATTTGTAGGCACAACGATTAGCACTGTTTGTCCGTCTGACCGTGTAACCATCCATCCAGGCAATAAGGCAAATACAAAAACAATGAGGTAGGTAAAAGGAACCAATGCAATTAAAGGTTTAATTATATACAACTAAATAAACAAACTGATGTATTAGAAAAATAAATACAATAAATAAAAGAGAATTTATTGTGTAGATAATAGTAAAAGAGATCCCAGTTTTTTTGTGAACCAAAACAACCATAAATGTAATCACAGAGATGTGAAGGCGACTCCTGACAGCGAGTCTGTTTCCGCCCAGCCTGCCTCTCCTCAGGTGTTTTTGCTGCACTGTCTCTGGAAACGCAGTGGAAATCTGCTCTAATTAGTCTGAAAGGCTCTCTGCAGGAGCCCTGCCTGCTACCTTCCAATGTATTTACCACATAGAGACAATTCAGCAAGGCCGATCAATGCTTATTACCCATTCAAAATAACTCCTCCTCTAAAAGCCCTGCATTTTTCCCTTTCAAGTCGCCCTTTTCAATATTAAATCTTCAAATAGGAAATCTCTGAAGAATAAATTAGACAAATCAAATATGCCAACTTAAAGCCTTCATTAAAGGAGTGCGGCGCTTTTCAGCCGAGCTATTGAGGGACTTCATTATCCCCTCATTAACATGAAAGGAACATTTATAATACATCTTAGAGCAGATGAAATGTGCATTTGGATGCACTGGAAGGAGAAAAACAGTGTGGGGGCAGCGGCAGATTGGGTGCCCTGCTGATGAAAGGCTAAAAATGAAAGATTTAACTCAACTGATTTGTGTGCAAAAATGAAAGAAATAATGTGGCAGGCAAACATTAACTGAAAGCCTGCCTGTCTGACTGACTGCAGTGTCAATTCAACTGACTTACTGACTGATTTACATGCCAGGGAATTATCTGGCTGGTTTATTTTGGGGACTACGTGGCTGACTCTCTGTTGATAATGTGTTAGTTGAATTCAGAGCTTTTTATTTTAATGGATTTTATCAGAAAAACAAATTCTACTTTTATTCCTGATACAAAGCAGCAGGCGCTCCTTGTTATCTGGCGAGCAGAGAGAGAGACCGGAGTGCTGGCACTAGACTTTGTGAGGACAACAATGTGAGGACACACAGCGGGGCCCAGGGGCCAGTCTCACAAAGATACTTCAGGCTGCTCTCTAGTGTTGGTCCAGTCATAGATCAGTCTGTTAGTCAGACTGTTTCCCTAAACTAAAAACTGACTCATTTTATCACAAAAACATTAGACACCTTACCTCCAGGTTAACTCATGATATGATATTCAAGACAGTCAATAACTAAAACACCTTTGTGCAACAGATGAATTCAGACTCAGTCTATCTGAAGTCTGACTATTTTGTTGAAGCCTTGTGTCTTGTGTCTTTGTGAAACCGGCCTGGTCTCAGGTCTGAGACCATGTTCCCATGCGCTTGAATTGCAGTTTCATAACATTTGATTATTTGTAACAGGAATGGTGTAAATGGAAGCAGCAGAAGCTGAGATATCCAGACTTTTAAGTTCTTAGTTTGGGGTCAAGATCCAAAACAACTGGATCCTACACTTCCCATAATGCAACTTGATAGCGTCTTCCAACCAGAAACACAAGCGACAATATGGAACTGTGCTGCGACAATGTGCAGCACATGTCCTCCCTCACCCCTGCCTGTATGTGACAACACTGTTTACTCCTCATTCATTATGCAAAAAGGAACAGGGACAGGCTTGACAGAGAGGATATTTTTAACCAACGTTCAGGTGTTAATAAAGAAACTGCTGTCAGTGTCTCTGACCTGTACATCAGTGTCTTTGGACAGGAGACCTTCAAATTCTGCCTCAGATCCCATCAACTGTTAGCTGCTGTGAGTTTTTCTTGATGACCAGCACTTCATCCACCCACCCACATCTTCTCTGTTATATATGATTCTATAATGGCTATTTCCTATCATTTTTACACTACTGTTTGTATATAAATTCAACAGCGAGATACAACATGAGCTTTAGGCTACATCCACACTAATACGTTTTCATTTTACAACAGCGTTTAAAACTAAAATGATTTCCATCCAGACGAGTGTTTTAGCTCCGTATCAGATATAATCTACATCCCGACTAACACACGTGAAAACACGTATCATGTGAGCAATCACGTACACTGACCATGTACAAGGAGCATGTAAACAGGAAGCAGATTGTCTACTCTGCAGTTGATTAGTCGCACAAAATACTCTGAACGAGGAACAACCAAGACAGCTGCAGCGTTAAAATGCAGAATGTAAGTGAACAACAGCTTCTAGCAAAGACAACAAGGTCAGTAACACTGTCATTCATAATCACGTATCATGTATTCACCACTGGTCGTCGATGAGAGCCAATCAGGAGAGACCTCGGGTGTCTACGTCATCGTTTCCAAAGGTCTCCGTTTTCAGCCCTCCAAATACAACAAAACCCTAAAGTTTTCAAAATTAAACACAACCCCAGAGCTTTCAAAATAAAACGGGGTCAGCAACATTTCCAAAAGTCTCAGTTTTCTGGGCTCGAAAACTCGAATGTGATAATAGGTGTATTTTTTTTAAACTTTGAAAGCAGGTGGGAACTGCTGGCGTGGTTCAGGGTTCATGCTACATTAGGCTAACATACACACCGTGACTCCAGGTTTGTATGAACAAATTTCCCAAGAGTCCTACTATTCTTTTTAAAAAAAGGAGCCCTGGTAGTTTTTAAAAAGTTCTTGCTGTTTAAGAAAAGTTTGTATGTTCTTAAAGTGTTCTTTAAGCCTCTCAGAATGAGTTCTGCATCAAGATGAAGCACAAGGAGTTTCTACCTCCTTCTCCCCCTGAGCAACACGGGCTGCCACATCCAGCATTAATGACAGGGCACCTGCCGAACACTGTTTCAAATCATCTCTGCTGCAGTGGACACAGGGGCGAGGGGCGGGTGAACATATAGAGGAAGAAAGGTGAGCTTTGAGATGTAATTATGCTCTTCAGGGAGCACAACTCGGAGCCAACTCCATAGCAACTACTCGTCACATGGCAATTAAATGCCTCCTTTTTATCAGAGGAGCGCGAGGACTTCATTTTGGACGGCTGAAAGTGAAGGCTTGAAGGTGGGAAAAGGAGAGTGACTAATGAGCACAGCTCCTCCACAAAGCTATAAAGAAAGGGAGGGGAGGGAGGGAGGAGGTGTTAGTGATGAGATTGTCTGCCCGTATGGGTCGACTTTAATTGGGATGTAGCTCAAATGCGGTGTCGAGTGATGGCTGTGTGGGAAGCTGGCTGGAAGAGAAGTGGGAGGTCTGGGAGGACAGGGATGATGTGATAAAAGCAGCTGTGGCAGCTCGCAACCTGTGTGACGTCAGCTGAGAGACAGAGGAGCCACCAAGTGTGACCGAGTGCCTCCAACTCCGCTAGTTTGTGAAACCTGTCAGATGTTGGACGCAGAATATATGGAAGTCAGTCGGGTCGATCGATGATCAACAAGTGCTCAGGGCTTTTCCTTCTTAACTGGACTGTGCAGGATGGAGGATCAGATGAGCTGTCTGCAGAGATGTCAAGAGCTCAGTGACAGTGAGGTGAGACTCAGTGGTGACGTACAAACAGGCCGATGCACATGCAGACAACTTGCAATGCAGAACAAAACCGTCATGCCAGAACTGCTTAAACACTGTATTTCTAACAGGCAGCGAGGTGGGTTTCTTCATCTGTTTACAGGTGATTGCAGCATTAGACTGTGCTCATGTGGATTTGTGTGAGGCATCCTGCTGTGGTCTGGTCCTCCAAAAGGTAATCATATAAGGAGGAGCCACTCAGAGTCCTGAGACTGTAACTTTGGCAGATATCCACTTGATATATGTAACTCAGACTTCTCAAGTTTCATATTTTAGCTTTTCCTGAACCTTGGAATTAATCTTCATTTTTGCACAGAAAAACTGTGCATCATGGACGGGACGGATGACAGCAGCAATTATAACTGATCCTTGAAGATTTATAATTCCAAACTATGTATTTATCCTTACTAAAATGCTGTACATCAAGCACATCAATGTGTCAGTCTAAAACATCTGGCACAGTCCCCATCCAGGTGAGCTCTGGATAGGGACAGTGCCAGATGTTGTCCCGGTGACCCCCTGGATGGGATTACAACTGCAGTGTTGAGAAATTCGCCATGTAGTGATGTGGATGGAATAATTAATTACACCTTGTTAATTGTGAATCTTTTAGAGCTGAATGATTAGTTGATTAGTCAATTTGTTGATCAACAGAAAATTAATCAGCAACTGTATTTTCTATCTGAATGAAACATCATTTTTAAGGTAAAAAATCCCAGAATTTTTTGGCTCCAGCTGTCAAATGTAAGGGTTTCCTGCTTTTCTTCATCTTATATATAATACATATCTACGGTATTATATATATTAACTGACTCGTGGTTGCCATGGTGAATCAGTTAATTAATTTGTGATTGCTACATTGTAAAAACTGGTGAAACTTATTTGGATTCAGGGCTAGAAGCTAAAGGGACATTCAGGGAATGATGGGATATGAAGGGAGGGTTGTGGGGTGTGGTGGATGAAGGGGGGGGGCAGGGGTGTACCTGCATGCGGTCTGTGCTGGCCATCAGGGGCATATATCTCAGTAAAGCCCTCACCGAGGAGCCTGTCCATGGGGGACTCCCTGCCCGGCTCGTAGTCGCTGTCCCCGGCCTCGCTGTCTCCACGGCCGCTGTCCTTCAGACTGAACTTATCCATCTCATTCAGGGCGTATCTGCACAGAGACACGCTGAGGTTTGATACAATTCTCACAGAGGGCTGACTCATCATTGACAATAATATCATCAAATGGAACGATATGCTACAGATGGATAATAAGGTGCACAGAGAGCAGAAGGGGTTTTACATAAAATTATGCAAATGTGAAGTTATTGAGCAAACAGTTTGACTCTAAACCAGGAAGCTACAGGATATGGATGTTAGGGGGTTTGTGAGAGCACAGACAACAGAGAAAACCATGTGGAAATGTTTTATCATCATATCATAGAGCTGTATCCTTTAATTTTTAACTGACTTCTGACAACAAAGGCTTTCAAAGCATCATTTTTGCATGTGCATTACCTGTAGCTCCTGGTGTATTTGTTGCCTCTGAAGCTGGGTCGTGGCTGGTACTGGCCCTGATGGAGCATGGACAGAAGCTGTGAGACTTGCTACAATCCCAAGAGAAACAAAAAAAAAGACAAAAAAGAAATAAAAAGACAAAAATAAAAGGAAAAAATGAAGACGGGGAAAATGAATGGAATCAAACAACCAAGGCCACAAGACAATGTTGGGGTGGAGGGATACTGTAGGGAGAGGGTAGGTGTGTGTGTGTGTGTGTGTGTGTGTGTGTGTGTGTGTGTGTGTGTGTGTGGGGGGGGGGGGGTTGGCATGACTTTGTGACTTGCTACTGAATGTGATGGTCAACAAAAACATGACACGAGGGCTGGAGGTAACAGAATGTGGAGCGAGGCAAAATTCATAACAAATACTGAATATAAGACCAAATGAAACCTGCACAGTACAAACATGATTACATGTCATGTGTTTATCTTTGAATGAAGCCGTAGACAATCTAGCTTTAGAGTAAATGAACTGTATTCATCATCGTCTTACCTCTACAGGAGGCGTGGCGTGGGCCAGCTCCAAGGCAAAATTCTCTGGCACATGATTGGAGGAGATGGTGACCAGACTGTTGAGTGACTGGCGGCTGTGATGGCTCTGCCTGCTCCCCAGGGTGCCCCTCTCAGGTGTCGGGGAGGCCGAGGGGGAGCGTGGGTGAGCCCGCACAGGCAGAGTCCCGTTGACAGTGGGGACCAGGGTGATGTCAGCCTTGTGGATCTGCCTGGCGGGCTTCTTGGGGTGGTTCTGGTAGCTGCTCTCTGCCACACGGCAATTGTAGTTGTGTCTGGGGTCTTTCTTCTCACGGCTGCAGCGGGCGGTGGCAAACATCACCATGACGATGAGCAGCAGAGCGCAAACGGCACCCAGAGAGATGATGACGATGAGGGAGAGATCCATGGAGGCCTGGCTGGAGCCGGTGGGGTAGAGAGGGGGGAGGATGTCCATGTTCTCCTGCAGGGAGAGCCTGAGGAGGGCCCCCGTGGACATCCGACTGGTGCCTCTGTCCTGCACTTCTACCTTGACCTCCATCACATCCCGAGGAGCCTGCTCCAAGCTGGCGTTGGTTCTGAGCTCACATCGCCGGGCGTCCATCACAAACAGCCCATCCTCATTGCCGCCAACAATGGCGCAGCTCAACTCTCCATTGGCACCGGCGTCGCGGTCTGTGACTTTAAGCGTGGTGATCAGCTGACCCGGCGACGCGTACTTCCACACCAGAATCTCAGCGGTGTGATTCTGGAGGGAGGGGGAGTGGATGATAGGCGGGTTGTCGTTTTCATCCAGAACAGTCAGGAGGACGGTGGTGTTCGCAGACAGCACAGGGTTTCCCCCGTCACGTGCCTGAACTGTGAAGGCGATCCGGCTGACGTCTTCGTGGTCAAAGCTGCGCAAGGCGTAGATGGCGCCATTGGAGGGGTCAATGGTGACATAGGTGGAGATGGGGCTCCCTTGGACCATGGCGTCTATGATGGTGTAAGTGACTTGGCCATTGGTGCCCAGATCTGGATCTGAGGCCACCACGGTCATCAGGTAGGCTCCTGGGGAGTTGTTCTCCGATTTAAAGACCTCATAGTGACTCTTCTCGAAACGTGGAGGATTGTCGTTTTCATCCAGAACCTGAACGGTGAAATGTTTGATGGTGGAGAGGCTGGGAGAGCCCCGGTCCTCAGCTATGACCGTCAGACTGTACTCCGACCTCTTCTCCCGGTCCAACGAGATGTTGGTGAGGATCATGTAGTTCTTCTCATACGTCTTCTGGAGTCTGAAGTGGCCGTGGCCGTGCAGCCTGCACACCACCTCGCCGTTGAGCCCTGCGTCACTGTCTTCAACACGCACCAGAGCTATGAAGGTGTCCACGGGGGCCCCCTCTGAAATGTAGGCCACTTCCTCTTTGCCAGGCGTCATCAGGTTGATGTTTATCTCCGGTTTGTTGTCATTTACATCCACCACCTTCACCACAATTTTGCAAAGTCCAGGGATAGAGTTCGGGCCTAAGTCCTGAGCCTGAACATCCAGCTCATAGGACGCGGTGGTTTCATAGTCCACTCTTTTAATGAGAGTAATGTGGCCGTTTTCTGGATTTATTTTAAATGTCTCCAGGATTTTTGGCGAGACATGACTGCTGAAAGAGTAGACTATCTTCCCATTAGTGCCCTCGTCTGGATCTGTGGCGTTTAAATCAATGATTAGAGTCCCAAGGGGGGAGTTTTCCAGCAGATTGATGATATACGCCTGCTCATCAAAGGCTGGGCTGTTGTCGTTGGAATCAGAAATGCTGATTTTGAGCAGAGTGGAGCCAGACTTGGGGGGCATACCATTATCCGAGGCTGTGAGCTGGAGCTGGTAGCTGGACTGAACCTCCCGGTCCAGCTCCCTCATCACCACCAGCTCTGCATACTTGGCCCCGTCCGTCCGGGTCCGCACCTCAATCTTAAAGAAGTTATTGGGTGTTAAGGAGTAAGTGTGCAAAGAGTTCTCTCCGACGTCCGCATCCACTGCGCCGTCCAGCGGGATGCGCGTCCCCACAGATGCGCTCTCGGAGATCTCGATGGGGACAATGGCGCGGGAGAAGTGCGGGGAGTTGTCGTTAATGTCCAGCACTTCCACCTCCACATGGAACAGCTGCAGGTACTCCGTGGGGAGCGTGACCACGTCGAATTCAATCGAGCAGTTCAAGTTTTTCTCACAAAGCTTTTCACGGTCGATTTTGGTGCCAATGCTGATCTCCCCGTCCTCCTCCCGGACCGACAGGAACGGCGTACTCCCTCGTTGCATGGCGCGGAACCGAAAGGTCAAGGAACTCGGTAGTTTGGATAAAACCCCGGCTACATCCTCCCTTAACCGTGCAATAACCGTGCCGACTTTCTGCTCCTCGTAAACTTTGTATCTCAAAGTCTTACCGCCCGCGCCGAGCGCGAGCGCGGCGAGGAGCAGGAGTTTGAGCAGAGCCGCAGAGGAAATACTTCCCTTGATTTGAAACATTTTTGCCCCCATCTTCTGCGCGCACACGTCGGCTATTACTTCCAGAGGAAAAAAAAATCGGGGTAAGGGAGGGAGGGGGGGGGGTAGGTGTCTTCTCAGAAGTCTGGCATGTTGAATCCTCCGCTGCTGCTGCTCACTCTCCGCAAAAAAACTCCGCAAAATAGAAAAGGGAATAAATAAATAAATAAATAAAGATAGACGACTAAACTGCGCTTCTTTAGTCAGAGGATAAAACACAGAGTGAACCCGCGGCGCGCTCCTTGTTTCTCTTGCATAAATCCAACATACATCCACCGCCTCCTGCGTGTGTGCGCCTCTGTGAGTGAGTGAGAGTGTTTGTCTGGGCGAAGAAAAGGCGCAGCTTTCTCCCCAGTCTGCGCGTGTGAGAGGAAGTGAGTGAGTGAGAGAGAGAGAGAGAGAGAGAGAGAGAGAGTGTGCGCTCTTCTCTGTCGTCGCTCCAGCCTCCCTTTCTCCGCCCGCCCAGCACCCAAACTGCGTCTCCTCTCCACACAAACACTCCCCCCACCCCCCCTCCTAAATCACCAGAATGGCTCCTTCAAGCAGCACAGGAGGGACTATTGATGGTAACCCCCGTCTCTCCCTCCCTCCCCAACACAGAGAACACCCCAGCATTAAAAGTGTGTCACAACAATGGGGCCAGAGGAGGAAGTATTCTGGGCTCAGCCACTCTTTTTTAACACAGACACACACACTGACCCGCGGCAGACTTACATTGTTATGATTGTAATTCACAACGTGTGCCAACTCTGGTCCTTTGTCGTGTGTGCGTAAAACTCGAAGCACTTAATAATGATGCCAAGCTCAACACTCACTGGTGTGATCACGGTCCCGGGGCGCAAACTTCCAAACCAGATTATTCCAAATATTCTTCATCACACCACACCATCGGTTTTTTTTTTTTTCTTTTCTTTTTGCGATACCCAAAAGGAAAAACCACAGCAAGCTTCCATCATATCATCAAGTCATTATCTTAATATGTCATAAATTTTCCAAATACATCATTTCTGCTCCTCCTGTGCAATAATGCTGAAAATACTGTCACTAAATCCCGAACTGCCGGTCTGCCCATCCATGAGCAAGTTTATTCAGATTTAAGTTGGAGACTCGACCTGTGCGAGTGAATTTCTCTGCTGTCTCTGACTGTGCACACAGGACAGACTGCCCTCCTGTAGAAAAACGAGACCATAGGTTGTTTGTCCAGCAGCTTATTAGGACCCATAGTTACGTTTTATTGCTAGGTGACATCTAGTTGTAGTAGTAATTATGACAGGAGCAAAGGGAAAAGTGCGGTGGTGGATGGGTGAGTATGACACAGGAGAGCGGAGTCTGATTCCCATGTGAAAGTAGCTGTTTATATTGTTTCTGTTTTCTGTTCAGGAAGTACTTATTTTAACCCAAATCACCATCTTTTTCTAAGTCTAACCAAATATTCGGCATGTTTATTATTGTAACCATGACAACCAAGGTCTGATAAGCCTGCCACCATAGGGGCGCTGTTCTAGGAGACACCCCTATGGGTTGTATCTATATACTGTAAAGATGGACACAGGTTTCTGAAGTGTGGTTTTGAAGCCCAGAGTCAGCTGTTCGCCGTTGCCGTTGACACCGCCCCTAATTCTAAGGTAATCCAAAAATGAACAAAGAGGTGGGCCTGTGTGGAGCCGAGGCTTCGGTGCATGCCAGTTTGTGGCAAGCATACACTCACCCACCTGTCACTCAGAGGCCACGCCTTTAATTAACATAACTCTAATCCTAAATAAAATGTAAACAGGTGAGTTATATAAACAGGTGTCATGATGGAGGAAATTAGCTCCAGAGACCAAAAGTGTTTTTGTACCAGGCTGTAAACATGTTTGTATTTGTTACTATGGGGATTGACTCACTGTTGGAGGCAGACTCTAGTGGTCATTCGAGGAACTGCAGGTTTTAACACCAGTGTCAGCTTCATGTTTCAGCCTTGGAGGTTGATACTTCATTGTATCAGAGGGTTGAAAAAAAATAGACCTGTATGGTTGTTCAGGTTGGAGGACAGGTTGAAAAAAATGCAAAAAATGCTTTTTCATTTTAAAATGTTGTCATTAAATCTACTATTGACTGGACTATCGTCTGTTACTTTATAACCCAAATAAATGTCAGACAGTTGAATCAAATACAACATTTCCTCTGTGGTGTCAGTTTACCTTAAATAAAAACATGAAATGTTTCACATTTTGTTTCTACTAAAATCTGCCCCAACTCCTGTTGTAGCTAATGGCTCATTCACATTTGTTGATCTTTCCATTAAATTGTGACACAACAGAACACATTCTCACACGCACCATGGATTGAGGTATATGGCGCTTTGTCATCTGTCCAGCTGACCCCGACGTGTGCTCTTTTCACCATCCCCCTCCTCCTCTTTGCTGCATAATAATGTTTTATGGAAGCCTACATCTCCTGATCCGACCGAATTACCATCCTGCCAACTCAACGTGTCTCAGTGAGCAAACAACTGGACGAGCAGCTTTATGGGAGCAGCATCAAGCCATCTGGCCGGGGCCTCAGACAACCCAAACCTACAATTACCATCTATTCAGTTTCTGACGCCCCCCTTCAACAAACCCCAACCCCCCCTGCAGAGAAACACCAAGTGAGAATTAGCTGCAGCTCATGTCAGATAAAATCTAATATCCTCATATTCTGCTGCAGAGAAACAGACTTCTCTATCAGACTTGTATGAGTTTACTGTTCAGTGGAATCAGAGGCTTTGGATTGGCTTTATTTGGATGTGTCATGGCTGCTGATAACTTTGAGTGGAAGAGAAAAGGGGAGGGAACATGTATAAAGATCAAAGAGGCTGATAAGTATTTTTATAACACGCATTAATCCTAAAGTCTGTAAAAGTTCAACATCACAGCAAACGTTTCTATAGAACATCCTCATCAGTGTGTCACCAGCTCCAGTAAGCCAGCAGCAGCCTCACTCTGAAGGTTCACCACATCCATTTTTTCCCCTCAAATTCAGAAAGTAATGAGTCGCGCTGCTCTGGCTTATACTCTCAATAAGTTTCATTTGGAGTGTGAGCCATATCTGATAATCGCCGCGCTGATTGGTTTCAACAGGGCAAATTATCTGCGGCCGGCATCTTTGAGGGGATGCGTCTCTGTGATGGATTTTTATCTGCATTTTAAATTCCAATGTGTGACCCGTGGGAACAGGCTCTGTGCGCTGCCATCTGTCTCCGAGCAAACACATGGACATCGGCTCCCGAGCTGATATATACACACATACTGATGCTGAATGACCCGACAAAGGAAAAGCATCCAACACACTCCACAGTTTAAAGCTGCTCGTTTCATGTGTTTTTGAACTGCTATTAGATGTGATTTAGTTTGACTTTATCATATCCTCATAAGAGCTAACGTGTATGATACCTCAAAGCAAAATTATAACCACCTTAATCATCTAACTGGAGAATAGGATGTTGCAAATATGTCCTATATGTGTCCTCTCTCATGTAATATATATATATATAGATATATGTCTTTATATAAACTTGAAAATCATTAAGGGTAAAGCGCCTCATTTACAATGATGTTGAGCAGATAAAAACACCAGTTGAAAAAGAACATCAATTAAAACAAACACATGAATACAATTAATAAATAATTTAATGACAACCAATTAAAACAGGTACAAACAGAAATGAAAAGGTTAGAGATTAAGAATCTAAGGCTATGTCCACACTACTATGTTTAGCTTTAAAACACATCTCTTTTCCTACGTTTCCTCCTGCTGTCCACACAACTTTATTTTAAAAACTCTGGGGTCGTGTTGTAGTCTGGATGAGATTTTTGGAAGCGCTCCCTGATTGGCTCTCATCAGCCTCGACTACCAGTGGGGAATACAACATGATAATGAATTATAAGTGTTGCTGACCTTGTTGTCTTTGCTAGCAGTTAAATTCTGTATTTTCATGCTACAACTGTTTTTACTGTTCCTCGTTGGTGGTATTTTGTGCGACTGACCAACTGCAGAGTAGACAATCTGCTTCAGCTCACACATGCTCACTGTATGTGAATGGTCGTGTATGTGTGTTTTCAGGTTTGTTAGTCTTGATGGAGATGGTTTTCTTTTTAAAACACTGTTTTAAAAATGAAAACATCGCAGTGTGGACATAACCTAAAATGACCAGGAGCCTCAGTGTGAACTTGAGGGACATGGAGCATGAGCCAGTCATTAGTCCTGGTGTCAGTGGATGTAAGATATAAGAGATGAGGCAGTTTTTCAATAAGGGCTTTGTAAATAAACAAATATGTATGCAAATCACGCCTCTCAGAGAGAGAGAGAGAGAGAGAGAGAGAGAGAGAGAGAGAGAAGACCATCCAACCTTTTTATACAGGATGCAACGATGAGTGTTATAAACATCAGCAGTAATGAACCTGAGAGCAGAGTGGTGGACAGCTTCTAAAAGAGTTTTTCTACAGTGCAACAGGAAGCAGGATTTATTCCTAAAGAAAAAGCCTTCATTTACTCACCAGATCTGACACATGGTTCTTAAAGGAGAACTTCTCATCAATCCAAATGCCAAGATATTTGTACAGCATGACTCTTTCAATAATGGTGCCACTTTGAGCGCTGATGATGAGGTTATTTGAATCAATATTTCACATAATTCATAATAAAACTGTTGCCACCTGTGTCTGACACTGCAGGTTTCTAGCATTTGACAGTTGGTTGTGGACTGGGAAATCTTTAATGTCTTTAACTTTATATCAGTTAATCAAAGTTGGACAGTGAATTTTGAAATGGTATTTTTCCTGAGACGCTAAAGTCAGATCAAACAGCGCTGCACCAGAAACTGAAGCTTGACGGCACAGCTGTCACTGTGGACGCTGAGGTCATGCCTTCTGTTCTGATGCTCGTACTATGAGAAATGTACACAGTGAGTATTCTGAAGACTGATACCAGTATTTCAGACATTATAGTTTTCACGAGCT